TTTCCCCCTTACCCCCACCCTCCCCTGCCTTCCCTCTGAGTTTTGAGCATCTGATGGGTCTAAATTTAATTTTTATAGTGTTATTTTATTCACCCTTTTCTTCCTTGCTATTCCCTTTTTCATCGCTTTTCTTCTTCTTTCCCTGCTTTAGTTTCCATCTTTCTTTTTACGAATTTTTTAAAAATTGATCTTCTTTATCTGCTTTATTGATGTGTTATTATTATTGTAGTCTCTGTTGGGTTATTCATAAATATTCCTCTTCCCTGTTCCTACCATATTTCCCCTTCTCTTTTCTCTTTCTTTGTTACTCAATTTTTTTTTCTCTCACTTCACTTGCCCTTTTTTCTCCTAACTTTATAATTAGTTTCACTTCCTAAATTCAGACATATCTATGCTCTCTTCTATTCTCCTTTAAATTAATAAATTAATTAATATTTTTTGCTTTTTTATTTTTTCTTATCCATTCATTCACTTTCTCCCTCCTCTGTACTAAACGGCAGTACTTCCCATATTCATCCAATTCCTTAACCTTATTTTCTCTATTTTTAGCTCTGCCTCTACAGATTCTGTCCCCCCACCCCTTTTTGGTGTTTTCTGTTTGTGCTTTTTGATTTATTTGTTTGTTTTGTTGTGTTTTCTCCCAATAATCTTTCTTTTTCTTTTCTTGCTATAATTTTGTTTCTCTATTCTCTCTCCTAATTCTCTTTTCTCTGGTGGTGACTTTCATTGGGGTTATAGGTGTCTTATGTACATTTGTGTTCTGTTCCTTTTGTGTAGCATTGTGTTGTGTTGTATTTTGTACTGTGTGGTCAGCACCTCCACAACGTTTGGCACAAAGTGATAGAGAGTGAACCACATAACCAGACACCCTGAGAGGAAACTCCATCCTCTAATGGGACAATAACATTCAAGATCCAACTACATCAAAAAACCCCAAATATCTCAAGCAGGAATCATCATTAGAATTCCCAGCCAAAAAGACCTGAGAGACTGCACCACTGGGTCTCACAAAACATCTACAATATAACACAAATTCAAAAAATCTGGGTGCCATAGAAGTTTGATCTAATACATAGAAACAATCACAAAGGAACAGCAAAAATGAGGAGACAAAGAAACAACCCCCATATGAAAGAATAGGAAGACACACCAGAAAAGGAAATAAATGAAATGGAGGCAAGCAATTTGTCAGAGAATAAATTCAGAATAATGGTTAAAAGGATGCTCAACCAGCAAGATGGGAAAATCACCAACATGTATAAAAATCAAGAAGAAATGAAGAATGACATAGCTTCAATAAAGAACACAATGGGAGGTTTCAACAGTAGAATCAGCAAGTTAGAAGACAAGGTAGAAAAAACACCCAAGCAAAGCAGAAACTGGATAAAACTAAAAAAGAAGGAGAGTCTAAGTGAGCTCTGGGACATCACAAAATGAAACAACATCCACATAATAGGCATGCCAGAAGGAGAGGAACCTGAGCAAGGAATAGAAAACTTGTTTGAAGAAATAATGACAGAAAACTTCCCTGAATTGGGTGAAGAAAAGTCACACAAGTCCAAGAAGCAGACAGAGTCCCAAACAAGATGAACCCTCAAAAGACCGATGCCAAGAGGAATTGTAATTAAATTGGCAAACATCAACAACAAAATAAGAATCTTAAAAGCTGCTAGAGAAAAACAGAAAGTCACCTACAAGGGATATCCCATTAGACTATCAACTAGCAACTAGCTTTTCAAAAGAAACACATCAGACCATAAGGGAATAGCATGAAGTATACAAAGTAATGCAAAACAAGGGACTGATTCCAATAATATTCCATCCAATAAGGCTATCATTCAAAATTACTAAGGAGAAACCAAGATGGTGGCATAGGTAAACACCGGAAATTGCTGCCTCCCACAACAAATTCAAAAATACAACTAAAAGACAAAACGGACATCATCCAGAACCACAGGAAGGCTGGCTGAGTGGAAATTCTACAACTAGAAGGAAAGAGAAAAGCACACTGAGACTCAGAGGAGGTATGGAAGTAGAGTGCAGAGGTATGGAGGTGCACACAGAAAGGGCTGGCAACTGAGGACATGGTTGTCTTTTTCAATCGGGAGGAAGTCTCAAGCTCCAGACTGCTCTGAACTCCAGTTCCGGGTGAGTCTCTGGGGACCCAGACTCATATGGGAAGAAACTAGACTGTCTGGCAGCTGGCAGAACTCAGAAATCGAGGGCAGATTTCTCTCAAAGATGCTTGCAGCAATTACCTTGGGACACTGAGAGGCGGGGGCCCTTAGGCCCTTAGGGCGGATCAGCCATAGCTGCTTGCTCCGCCCTGTTGATTCCCTGAGACCCTGCCCCACCCAAGCTGCGGCAGAGCGGCAGAGATATGAATGCCCTGGCCCTTTGCAATCTGAAAATTACCTAAAAAACCGCAGCTGGGTCAGAGACCCAGAACATCCAAAAGAAGGCCCAAGGCCCCACAGCAGCTTGCATTGCTTCACAGCTGGGCCTCATCTGGGCACCTCCAAACCCCAAAGAAGAGGAATCTGCAGATCTCTCCATAGCTCCTGCTG